TATCACTTTACTCGTTCTTTTGACTTTTAATGTGTAACTCTGGGATTTATTACTCTGTCCTTTTAATGTGCTTCTTCGCTTCTGAATCCCTCTTTTATTCCGCCTTGTCCTTCCTTTGGATTCTCCTTGCCCACCTCCGGACGCCCTGCTTTCTACGCACAAACCTGAAAAAAAAAAACGCCCCCGTCTTTGTTCGCTCACCAGACCTGTTTCAAGAGGCACTTTCAATTCCTCAGTAGGTACGTACCTCTAGACTTGTGTTTCCGGCGACGCGCACTGACCGAGGCAGTAACTCCAGCTTTGATGGCACACCTAAAAAATGAGCCTCAGGTGTCGACCTCTGCGCGGCCGTCTTCGCCTCCGTACGACGAGGTGCATGAGCCACCGGTCAATTCAAGTCCTGTAGCACACGATGATCTCGTCCACTTTGACTCCTCCGTATTCGACGAACTCGATTCACTATCTTCGCCTGAACATATGCCCCACACCCAAGGCCACGTCCTTGCTGCAGCCCCCCCCCGACATTCTCTCCCGGGAATAGCCACCATCGAAGACCAGCAGCGCAGGAATCCCTTGGCCTGGCCCCCCCCAGCTTTTCGTTCAGGCTTGGCCGCGCTTATATACTACGACAGCGAGTCTGAGTCTTCGCCGCAACGGCCCGAGTCCCTCTACAATTCACCGGAACGGCCCCAGTCCCTCTACACCTCTGTGACGCGTCCGCTCCCAACAGTTCAGACGGAGGCGGCGGCTGAGGTCCAACAGGTCGGCGGCGGTCGTGACGCCACGCCTCCTAAAGAGCTCCAGCCTACTCGCCTCCGGACCCAGATTAGGCATATTGAGTCGCCTGGTGAGAAGGGGGAGCGCCGCGCACGCACCTCCTTCATTGAGCACCTCAAGGCGGGCGGGGTAGACGAGTTTGAGATCCCTCCCATACCCCCTGGTTTCCCCACCGAGACTCCCCCCGACTCGCCCTCTGTCCCCACTCGTGCCAAGACGACAGGACGGCGTGGCCGTGGCCATAGCTTTGCTACGCAGCCGCCGCTATACACGTCATTCGTCGACTACGTCGAGGCGGGTGACTTCAGGGAGGTTCCTCTTCCTCCCCCACCCTCTAATTTTCGCGCCGAGGCTCCCTCCAACTCGCCCTCCGTCTCCAGCCTTGCAGGAAAGCACGACCGTGACCGTGTGCGTGTTGCGGCTCTCCCTACATCACACAACGTCGCCACTGCTACGCCTCCGGCGATAGGAGGCCCCGCGGCGGTCACGACTGAGGAAACCGAGGCAACTTCGGCCACCGCTCCGCCTCCGGTACCTCCGCCTTCGGTACCTCCGCCCTTGGCAACTTCCGCCAGCGCTCCGCCTCCGGCACCTCCGCCTTCGGCACCAACAGACGCCGCTGCTGTGGCCGAGGATGATGATACGGTCTTCAACGGTGGCTTGTTTGATGGCGACGCTCTTGACGATGAACACGACGGCCCAGCGTCCAAGGGCAAGCGTGGAAGGCCGTCAACCACCCAAGTGCGAGCAGTGGAGAGATTGATCCAGGAGGTTACGGAGAAGATTGACGATACAGTTATCAACACCGGGCTGGGGCGGGAGCTCATTGTTCGCAAGCTCTTGCACGAGGTCGCCGGACCTACATTTAACCGCACCACCATTTGGCACCGATTCCTCAAGTATGCGTACCACACAGATAGGCGTCTGGACGTTGTGCGTCTCGCCGATCCTGACTTTGAGGCGCCCCGGGGCGAATGGTTGCCCAGTAAGGATCAAGTTTCGGCGTCTTGGAGCGTCTTCACAGGGCTTCACGCACGCGAGCAGCAGGAAGAAATCCTCTCCGCATTCGAGGAGGAGACAGTGATTCTAGCCGAGGAGACGGTGCGGGATCGGCAGCGTGCTTTTGAGAAAGGGTATGACATGCTCACAGCGGGCGTGAGTCACTTGCTACGTTCTCAGTCCCCGCCCACACGCTAACCTCCCAACTAGATGCGGGCGCAGTTGAGATCGGAGTTCGACTCGTTCTTCATTTTCACGGGGCCACACATAAACGACGACGTTCAGCTGGCTCAATTGTATACCACCCCGCATGCAGAGAATGTAAGTACGTCCTTGTGAGGTCAGTTTTTCTAGCTAATCTGTGCATAGTTCCTGCATGACATCGTCGGCGTGGAGCCTAGGGACTTTATTGGGCTGTTCAGGCTCTACACCTAGTATGTGTTTTCCGAATACGCTAGCTGATGGTCCATTTATTCATGTTTAGCTGTGAGGAGCTCCGGCCCGTTCTGGCCGCAGTCCGTACAAACGCAGGCACAGCCCTGGATCTCACGCAAGTCTTCAAGTCCCACACGGCAAATATATGGGAGGTGGGCCATATCCAGGCGCTTGCAAAGGCCGGGAGGAACCTCCGGACTCCCGTCGCCACCGGCATCACCCAGTCCGGGTCCACCTCCGTACCGCACGTATACCCTGCCGCAGACCCCGTCGTGAACGCCAGGGCCCTCACGTTGAGCTTCGACAAATCTACAATCCCCCATCGTGATGCGGAGCTGGCCCACAAGAAGGCAATGGAGGCCCATTCCGCCGCCTTCGACACCGCCGCTGCCAATGGAAGTATCCTCCCCCCACAGCTTGTTGCTTGGCTTGAAGTACCCACGACACGCCGCGCTCCGTTGAAATTCGATTACTCAGGTCTATCGGCAGAGCAGAAGACGAAGATGAAGGCGGAAAATCACGCCGCAAATCGCCTGACATACGATGGCGAAGACCGCTACTACAACAACAACATTCGGGAGGCCCTTACTGAGATCAGCCGGATTGACCTCAGGGGCAAGGACATCTTCCACAGCATTCGGTCAGATAACATGACGTGGACAACCCTGCATCAGACGCTTTTGGACCAGAAGGTCCGCATCGTCGGCTTCCCCTCCCATATGACGATACCCACGCTCGCCGGCTCAGAGAAAGCCACCAACTCCTGGACGATGGTCGACCGCGCGGCCATGGCTCTCGCCCTCAAGGCTCGAGTGCTGGGAAGCTTGGCCGGACTTCGCTTGGAATACCACCCGTACGATGGAGTTGGTGCGTTCTTTGCTCTCTATACCCGTTGATAGTACTGAGCATTTTGCAGATGACTTCGCCATCGTTTGCCATAGCTACCTCCGAGTGCCACCAAAGCACGACGCAGGCGACGAGGCCTTCTGGAGATCATCTGGTGGCGAAGCGCTCCTGACCGTCACCGGTTCAGGTTTGATATACTCTTCAATTTACGACCTTCGCACTTCATGCGCCCCCACATCCAACGCCCACATGCTATACGACAACCGCCCCAAGAGAAAGCAGAAGCTACCTTTGGCGGTAGCGTCGTCGTCCAAGCAGCAGCCTGACGACTATGACGACGACGACGAGGGGCTTAGTTCAGTGGAGGAAATCAGAGAGCAGGTAGCAGAGGGCAAGGAAGAAGAGCCGGTGGTGGAAGTAACAAAAGAAAAGAAGGGGAAGGCGCGTGCAGCCGGAGGCGGGAAGCAAAAGTCGAAGGCGACCGAGCCTAACGCGCGGCGGAGGCCGAAGGCTCCTACTACCAAGGCTACAGGCCGTCAACAAAAGGCCAAGTGAACGGCCAACGACGAGATGGACTTCGACGATGGTGGTAGCGAGGTGGAGCCGGAACCGCTGCCAGCCCGAGCCACGCGGTCGCGCTCCCGTGCGCCGGCTACGTCTGTGTCCATGCCCGATCCACCTGCTGCGCCTGTGCAAACAGGAGATGGATCTATTGGAGGCTGCGGCCGGACTGGAGATGCGCCGGCGCGCCCCTTGCCGCGTCTCAGGAAGCTGGCCGTTGCTGCGTTACCAGGCGAGCCTTCAGCAAGGAACGGGACGGGCAGCAGCATTGCAAATTGCATGCCAGAGGATGCAATGCTCGAAGTCCCCAAGAAGGCCGTTCGGTTCGTCACCGACGTGGCCCCCGGCAAACGCGGGCCAGAAGAGAATGTCTTCCAGCCGCCGCCGAACAAGCGACCGCGGCCTTCAGACGAGTCGCCTGCAACGCTCATCGTGCCCGCCGCACTTGCCGTGCCCGACACCACCGTCACCACCGCGCACGCTGCACTCACCACCCCCCCGGCCGGCGCTGTCTCAGGAACCCCGGGTTTCAGCGGCACGACGCTACCATTGCCGTCTTTCGCCTTTCCCGCGGCCTCCTCCACGGTTAATGGTCTACAGCCAGGGACCTCGGGGATAATGCCCGCGCCCAGCAACCCCGCACTCCCGTTTGCTGCTGCAGCCGTCCCGACTCCAACCGCTTCAGACCCAACAATGTGGGCGATGACCGCAATGATGGCAACTCTGTCCGAGGCGCAGAGGGCGCAATTCCTTCAGCAGATGGGATTCGGGACGCGCTGAATCGGCCTTCTTGTTGATTCACGGTACATGTACATTTGCTTACATCTTGTATTTCTTGAAGTTGTGTCGTGTAAATTTACGCAATTGTATTTCTTGTTTACATCTTGTATTTTTTTTGTGCCTTGACACCATCGTATATAGTATAGTGACGTTTGCGACTAAGTATTTCTTGTTTGCAACTTGTATTTTGTTTTGATTTGTGTCGTTGCCGTTGTATATAATATAGTGACGCCGTTGTATGTGGATGCTGGTCCCTAGTGCAGAAGCACTGGTGGCGTAGTGGTAACGCGTCCATACTACCTCTCCTGGTAATAATTTTCGAGGCTTCTCATCTTTGGAAGTCTTGAGTTCAATTCTCGGCCAGTGTATTTCTTTTTGCATTATACATTTCTCGCTTGCTCTCCGGCGCGGAAACCCCATATGTGGATGCTGGTCTTGACCACAGAAGCACGTACTGGTAACACATTCATACTTGTTGTTTTTCAGGAGTTATGTATTATATGGAAGTCCCGGGTTCGAATCCCGGCTGGTGCATTCCTTTTTGCATTACTTGCTCTCCGGCGCGGAAATCCCATATGTGGATGCCGGTCTTTATCACAGAAGCACTAGTGGTGTAGTGGTAACACATTCATACCCGCTGTTTTTCTGGTGTCATGTAGATCATCTACATGCCCAGACGCAATATATGGAAGTCCCGGGTTCGAATCCCGGCTGGTGCATTTTTTTCTCATTACTTGAGACCCTGAGCGCGGACACGTGACCAAATGAATCTTGACGCATTGAACATCACGAAGGTACTCGCAGCTGCAAACTGGCCAATCCCGCCAATCCCGATGGCCAGGTAAGGTGTGTATTTCCTCAGTATTTCTGGCCATTGCCATGAGGCGAGCCCTGCTAGTAAACCCGCCAGTAGGTGTGCGTCCCGAAGGTGCCGAGTCCCGACGGCGGTGCGTTTCTGCACACGCCCGCTCAGCTCACCTCTTTCCCACATATACATGGGCCCAGCCCTACCATAATCTGACATGCCACCAACACGCTACAAGCACGCCAGGAAGTTCGGGGCGAAGGCACCAGCAGTACCAGCAGCAGCATGTGTGTTAGATGTAGCGTGCCTGCCTGCCCCGTTGGCAGACATATCGTGGTTTATGCATCCTGCACGCCTTATTTTAAAATACGGCCAGCGCTACAGGCACTACCCTGCCCGTACTGTCGTCCTACGAGCAAGCAGAAAATGCGCGCAGCAGTCCCGAAGGCCGCTGCCACACCCGCATGAGCCGCGCGACACCTGAGGGCGTCCTGTGCCGCTCGCAGTGGCTGCAGGGTTGTATGTGTGAGCGCTGGGCGGGCACGCTGCGCTGCAGTAGAGTAGCACGCATAGGCGTGCATCCCGAAGGCGCCGAGCCGCCGACGGCGGTGCGTCTCCACAATGTCCTGCACACTCCCGCTCACCCCTTTCCCACATATACATGTTCCCAGGCTTACTATAATCTTACACGCACACACTACAAGCACGCCAGGAAGTCTTGGGGCCTCAGCGGCAGCATGCTTTTAGCCGTAGCGGCCCTGCACTCCATTGCTTGTAGGTAGGGCATAAACTCACTGTTTCCTTACAGAGACAATATTATTTTGATACCACGCAAGCGTACTGACGTCCTACCGCGCATGCACGACGAGCACGCTGGAAATGCGCACCGGGTCCCGAAGGCCGCGCCGTAGCGGTCCTGCACTCCATTGCTTGTAGGGCATAAACTCACTGTTTCCTTACAGAGACAATATTATTTTGATACCACGCAAGCGTACTGACGTCCTATTACCGCGCATGCACGACGAGCACGCTAGAAATGCGCACCGTGATCCCGAAGGCCGCTGCCACGCCCGTACGTGGCTTCCCGATTAGGACTAGCGGCTATTGGTCAACCTTCGTCTCGCCTGAAACCCCTTCGAAGGACATTTTTACTCAACGTCTAAATTGGCTTCGAAGGGCAATTAGTAAGCAATCAGCTGTCGTCTTAGGTGGTTACAAGATTCAACACTTGGATTGCGCTGTGCATCACGAGCCCCAACATGAAGCTGACTCCACTCCATCCGACGGCGGATCATTCCTTGATGTCCGCAAAGTAGCGGAGGAACCATTTTTTGTCTGACTGAGGCCTGAACCCGGGCCTTCAACTGAGCTCCTTCGTGACATACTGTCCGCCCCTGAGTAGTTGAGCCTCCACTGCCACCCCCCCCCCTCCCCTTGGGTCCAATATGTCATCCTACTGTCTTACTGTCTGACCACTGGCGCTTCCGAGGCGTTGCTGCTCACCATGTCTCAGATGTTTAGGACAATGTCCACTGTCTTCAATGCTGCACCATGTCATACTGCCATATTGTCTACGTGTGTCTTCCCTTCCTTTCCGTCTAACCCGTCACAAGAGCATGTCAGTTTTCCCTCAAGACCGTGGACTCTATATTAGATGAATACAAGGCTTCACCCATGGATGGATGACTTTACGTACCTCAGAGCGACAATGTACAACTCTATTTATGTGCTACTTGAGGCCCCGTGAAGCTCCACCAAAGGGTTGTCCACCCAAAAGATCTGATTTTGCCCTCAAATATCCACTTTTTTCTCGGTGTTCAGGCCTTAAATATACAAAATTGGACAGGGATGGTCACATGTGTGTGTCCAAAAAGGGTAAATTTATGGCAGTGAATTCAAATTTCGCTCCAAGTATTCCTTCCACTTCCACAGCCTCAGAGCTGCATGCGGAGGGTGGGTGCGGCTGATGGCCGTCCATCCACAAGTTGAGTTTCCAATCAGCTCGGATTTGCGGCTTCCAACATGGACCCAACCCTGAAATATCCAATTGGTGGACAAGGGTTTGGGATTTGTGGCCTCAAATATCCAATTTTAGGACGGGGAAATCACCAAGGGTTCTTGCACGACTTTGAAGTTTGAACTAGACTCCCGTGAATTCATTCACGGGCACCACCTAGTAGTACATAATATAAGCGGCAATGAAGATGAAAAGAAAATTTTAATTAAAGAACACATTTTCTGGAAGCCCTTGGCATCCAGCCATTCGGGTGTGACTCCTTATCTTATCCGTGAATCAGTGGAGTTTCAATAAATGATAAGAAAAAGATGGACACATCTCTCTTCCCCTTCACAAAGACTCTCTCCAATGGTAGATGCCCCTATTTTTCTCGATTTTTTCTCGGTTCATCTGACTTACATAGCTGTTGGGCACGCACTTTTGGGCAGATGGAAACACTGTTTGCCCTTTGGCCGCTCAAACTCGGCGGAAAAGAGAAAAATTGGGGAACAAACAAATATTATTGCCTGTGAGGCCTACTGTTGGTAAACTAGTGGCTGTGTTATCATGTTGATGGCCTGTCAAATGTGATTCACACGCACCAAATAAGGTAACTTTTGATGCGTGAACACGTCACCTCGGAACTCAGCTAACCTCGGACAGCTCTGGTTCCGAGCCGATGTGGGTTGAGACAGCTGTTGCCCAAGGGGGGGTCGGGATTAAAATTTCGTACATGGGGATGGGGGGTCCCGGGAGGGCTGAAATTTTTTTCTACAGTATGTTAGCAAGGAGCTTCAGAAATGTTCAGAACTACCTATAATTGTTGTTAAATGGGTTGGACATTCAGAACGAGGTACGAGCGAGGAAGTCTGTCAAGAGAGACTAACTCACATGCCCAACAAAACCGAGCGCATGTGGCTTCATTTGGCACAGGCCGCGACCTCAGGTTCCGGCATGGCAGATTAAGTGGCCTATGGTGATGTTGGTGATGTTGGTGGCAGCAGTAAAAATAAGGCAAACTTTAAGAAGTGCGAGGCGGTGTCCATGTGCACCTTGCATAACATGTTTTAAGCCAGAATATTCATCAAATAAAAGTTTTAAGCACAGAATTTCAGGGCTTAAAACTTTATTTTTTTAGTTACCCACCATGAACTCTCTTACAGCAATTCCGAAAACCCTTGCCGTAGATCACATGTTGTAGAAATAAAATAAGATAATTCAGAAAAATCAGAAAAACCCCAAAACGCTCTGTTCCGCTGGTACAGAGTGGCTGCAACCTTCAGACCATGGTTTTCAAGCACCACAGCACCGAGGTCAAGCTCTTGGCCATCTGTGCACTCAAAAACGGCGATGACATCGACTCTGTGGAGCACCGTTTCGGGATCAGTCGTCGCAGCCTCGAACGATGGCAGCAACAGCTCGAGGAGACTCACACTCTCGCCAGACAAAAATCTGAGACTGCCTGCCGCCCATGGACCATCCTACCACCCTTGCTTCAAGTCCTTCGCGACTTGCTCAACGAATCGCCGGCGCTTTACCTGGATGAGCTTGCCGACTACTTCAGCATTGTCCATGATGAGGACATTCCAATCTCTACCATCGCCGACAGTCTACGGGAGCTCGGGTACCAATGCAAGGTGCTCCAGCGTGTCGCAGCTCAGCGCGACAACATTCTACGTGCGCAATGGATGCAATTGATCCAACGAAACTCTGAGGCTCGGCAGATGGTGTTCACAGATGAATCTAGCAAGGACGGCCACACTCTGGCACGGCGATATGGTCACGCCCCGCATGGCCACTGTGCAGCGGAGGTTTTCACTCACGATCGCGGGCAGAGATACAGCATTCTGCCCGTGTTGACTTTGGATGGGTATCTTACGCTGCGCATCGTGGAGGGTTCTGTCGAGTCTCGACGGTGAGGAATTCTTCGACTTTGTATTGAACGAATTGGTATGGGTTCCTCACGTCTTGATGCAGAAGAACTGAGCACTGTCCTCTTAATGTAGCTGCCCAAGATGAATCGATTTCTGGAAGAGAATAGCGTCCTCATCATGGACAACTGCTGCATCCACAAGAGCCAAGCAGTTGCACAAGCCTGCGAAGATGCCAGTAAGATGGAAAGCTGCTCACCAGTTTTCCACACAGCTCATATGGCTGACTTATTGCGAAACATATGGGCTGTTGCCAGGAGAGGAAATGCGAAGCCCCAGGGCAACTGCCCTGAGGCCCTAGTAATGTCATTTATATTTTATATATTATTAAGTAATGTATGATAGGATCAGTACTGATTGATGGCATCAATCCATGATATTTAGGTCACGTTATGACATCATCAGATTAATTTCCCACAATATAAAAAAGTGGCAACAGCAGGGTTTGAACTGGTGTGATATCTTGCCTGATTATATAAGATTTATAATCAGACATCAAGTAGCACACTAACCATCTAGACCATACATATATTGCAAAGAAGCTATAATTAAGGCAATATATACCTTACTCAGCCCATCAGCCTATGCTACTATAAATAAAAATATATTTAATATCTTCTAGTAATGCTAGAAATATGTTTAATACCTTTTCATAGTGATGCCAAAAATATATACAACAAATTCAATACCTTCTAGTGATGCTAAAAATATGAAAAATATGTTTAATACCTTCTAGTGATGCCAAAAAATATATTTAGATTAAAATGAGCCCTAAACATATTTTAGTATCAGATATTAAACATAATATTAAACATATTTTTAGCATTACTAGAAGATGTTAAAATATATTTTCATTTATGGTAGTATAGGCTGATGGGCTAAATAAGGTATATATTGCCTTAATTATAGCTTCTGTCTAATACCTGTATGGTCTAGATGGTTAGTGTGCTACTTGATACTTGATTATAAATCTTATGTAATCAGGCAAGGCATCACACCAGTTCAAACCCTGCTGTTGCTACTTTTTTATATTGTGGGAAATTAATCTAATGATGTCATAATACCCAGGCAAAGATCTGGTGGATTGATGCCATCAATTAGTATTGATGCCATCCTATTATTTTTGATCCTATCATATTGGATTGATGCCATCATATTGTTTTGATGCTATCACCAAGATGCTGCCCCGAGCTTCGGCATCTGGATAACCCGAAAACACCCGAAGCAACCCGGGGCACTCCCTGCTGCCTATATATGGTTTGCCCTGGCGCTCCGCATTTCCTCTCCTGCCAACAGCCCATAGGTTTTGCGAAACACCCACCTTATAAGTTGCAGCCGTCGTCATCACCTGTATCCGACGGCGTGAGGTCAGACAGGTCTGAAGGGGGGTCCGCTTCCAGTTCCAGGTCGTCGGGACCGTGCGGAATGTCGCGAATTGCTTCCATATGTGCCTGCGCATCGAAGCCTTTCAAACAATAGGCCGAGTACTCTTTGCCGCTGCGAAGGCAGTGCCGGAAGAAAGGAGCACCTGCGCGTTAAGGTTTAGTACGCGGGTGGTGCTTATGGCGCAAAAAAATAATGGGCAGGGGGGTGTGGCGTGCGTGCGGTGGCAAAAACGGACGGGTGGCAAGGCGGGTTACGAAGTGAAAAAACCGCAGTAAAAACACGGGCGGCGCGGTTCCAGGGGCGGATCCAATCGCCGGAGAAGGGTAAAGAAGGGGGCGCGTGTTTCGGTGGTTTGAGGCGATTGCGTCGACGCGTTCGTCAAGGGAAGGAGAGTGAGGGAACGTACCAGTCGAAGCCATTGTCTGGTTTCCGGGTGGCGAACGTGAGGCAGGCGGGGGAACGCTTGGGTCGCGACTTTGAAAGGACAGGAAGGGAAAGTCAAGAGTCACAAGACCAAGAACGTCACGAGGGAAACCACCAACTGTATCGCCACACACAACTCCAGTTCCTACCACCCACCGTTTTAACCTTGTTTTCAACACTTCAGCGTCCTCGCCACAGCACCTCAGAGCCTTGAAAGTCCACACCTCTGGCAGTTTGAAGTGTTCTCTATCAGCCGGCTTATGGCGTACTATTAGTCAAATCGAAGAAGGGCGTCAACTTAGTTCGGGGCCTTACACTTCCTTCAACGTCCGTCTGGTGTAATGGTTAACACGTCGTCAGTTCTCATACGAGACTGGCGAAGCTGAGGGTTCGAATCCGTCGGCGGACCAGAAACGGTCATGGGGGGTGCCCGAGCGCGACCCCCAGTGCGACGCGCTGAGATCGCGCTTGGGCACCCCTCAGGGCCGCTTCTTTTTCTTTCACTGCTGCACGACGGGGGTAATTTTTATTTTATTTAGCAAACCCATGTCCTCGACAGGATAATTTTTATTTTATTTTGCAAACACACGTCATATAATACACTCTGCCAGCACCGTGGCCATACAAGTTGTTGTTCTCCATACATACTCCGTTAAGAATTGCCCGCTGATATTTATTGAGGGCGGGGCTCAAGCTGTACAGGTATAGTACTAGTTATACGGTAGGGAAAGTACGAGGTCACACAGAAGGCGTCGCATGGCGGGCAAATGTGTCTCAGAAATCGCCGGGATGGCGTATCCGCGCAATACGGCGGCGATTACGCAAAGTACCCAGACTCCGCAGTCGTATCCATTCGTTTGCAGCGCCTGGTCCTGGGCAAAGTTAGCAGGTCGGCAAGGGGCAGAACTGCCGCGTACTGGTTGGTACAAGGGCTGTGCGACCCAGGCTTCCTCCTGGGTTGAAATCTCAAGCCGATACCCATGCCGGAGGGCCAAGGCGGTCATTCGGGTAATGAGGGCCATGACATCCTGATGCCGGTAAGCAGCTGGTCTCCGGGGAAGTTGGACGTACACGTAGATCAGAATCCCAGTGTTGACGTGCGCCCAAGCTGTCAAAGAAGTACAGGCGCTGCTCTCGAACGGCCGCAGCAACGAACACCCAATGCTCCTGTTCTCGACGATGGATCGGGATCAGCCACGTTTGTTTTTCCCAGTACGCCGTAGGTTCCAGACGGCTCCACAAGAACTCATCAGACGTGTCGGCCTGTACCCGAGGTAGGTCATGCGTGCTAAGCAGCGCACAGGCGGCGACATGCTGCGCAGTCGGCGTTGGCTCGTTGGCGCGAGTCTTCTCGTTGACGAATACGTTCTGTAAAGCGGCAGCTACGCCGTTCATCATTGTGCAGTTGAGGCGCCGTGGAAACCGAAGGCGGTCAATGTCGTCGGCCTCCATCGCCAGTCGGCGGGAGCCGACAGCAATCACGGTGTGACGAAGGCGGCAATTGGGGTCAATTACCAAGGCCAGCTGGACTCGGCGATCTTGAAGAACCTGGAAGAAGGTGGTGTCGGTGGAGAGTCTCGACTGGTGTACGCGTGAGTAGAGTCAATCGATTTGATTTAAATGGCAGGACGCACCGGGGTCTCCCAGCGAACATCAAGATTCACGCCGTGCACTGCGGGTCGCTCGTCGGGGCCGTCGCCGTCGTGACCAATAACGTCCTCAAGTAGCTCTTCAAAGTCAAAGTCGCCTGCCGATTCGTCTTCGTCTTGCTCGTTATACAGTCCTGCCGATTCAAAGTCGCCTGCCGATTCAAAGTCACCTGCCAATTCGTCTGGGTCCTGCTCGTTATACCGTTCGTCATGCGCAGGGTGTTCGGCGGGATCTTCCTCAGAAAAGAACTCCACTGCGACGGTTCGCGGAGGCTGGTGATCCGACGGTGGGTTGATAGAGAGTGGTGTAGACGGAGGCCATGTGGGAACGCCGGTAGCGGCCATGAAGGCGGAGGCGTCATGAACGGCAGGCGGCCCTTCACATTGGGGCGGGTAGATGCTCGGCGGTCGGGGGGCTGGGTCACAGAGCACTGGCGCCCACGCTACCGCGAGGGTACGTAGGCGCCCTTGCCGCTGCTGGAGGGGAAGGCGCAGTAGGGTATCTGAATGATCATCAGCGCGTCTATAATGTAAGGTCAATTTAAGCATGTACCGCTGCAAGTTACGATGGCGCGTGAGACAGTGGCCGTTTCGGCCCTCAGCCACCCTGCCATATTCTGTCGCTCCCTGAGTGTCCGACGGGCCTCTTCACTGCATCGGTCCGCCAGATTAAAGCTTCGAATCCCTTCACGAACGGGCTCTTCGCTAAGCCAGCGGGGGATAGGGCCCGCGGTTTGGTAGATCCAAACGTCTTCATGCAACGTGGGGTCGTTGCGGAGGTCGTTGAGCTTGGTGGGTAGTGGCGTAGGAATGGGAATATTGCATCCCGTCGGTCTAAGCTCTGCATACGTGAGGCACAGATCGTTGTACCTTGAAATCGCCCGCAACAATGCAGGCTGACGTTTGGTAATGGCCTTGCGCGTGGCCTGGTACAGTTTGGTGCCTGGTTTCGAATTCTATGTCAGACTGAGACATGGAAGAGGTAGACAGCGAACCCAAGGGCTCCCGGCGTCCACTGACAGCACGGTCGAGTGTTTCCCACTCGTAAAAAGAATTGACAGCGCGTTTGCGGATGTTGATTTTGAGATCCCGCAGAGTGAGCAGTGTCTGAACGAATTCGAGTCCGAAACCCTGTAGCTCAGGAAACTCGTCGCTTATGTTGAGTGCGGCGTAAAGCTTCTCGGCCTGGCCACTAAGTGTGGTCTGAGTGGCAAGAAGGCCGCCGAGAATGGTCAGAGACTGGGCAGTGCTCCCAGAGGCTGTAATCGACTGCTTCACTTCGTGTATTGCTTTCTCGACAGAATCTATCTGAGCCTGAAGGTTGAGCACTTTGTCGAGGTCACGGCAAAGTCGAGCCGGAGCATCTATCGGCAGCTGTTAATGTCTGATGTACGAGTCATGGTTGCACATACGTGAACGAATGGAAGTTTGTGCAAGCCTTTGTGCATCCCACTCCCGGCGCAGGTCCGCCTCCGGGAGCCCGGACATGCGGATTCCTCGGAGCGCTACACACCACTTTTTTGGAATAGTGATATTGTCTTGCCGGTACATCCAGTCGCCGAGGGTGTCAAGACCTTCGTCATTAAGAAAGGCTGCGTATTGATCAAGCATCCAGAGCCGACGGGAGATCTGTGTCGCGTGAGATGGAAAAACGTCCAGATAATATGGGGCGCACCCATTGATTACGAGTGGCAGGAATAAGCCTCCGTGTTCGGGACCAGAAGCGCTCAACACCTTCGAGGTCCGTCAAGCCCATGCCGGCGCGATACTTGGGGCTATAACGAATTTGGCAGGCCCACTCGTGGCCGAAGGCGTGCATGGCGTTGATAACAAACGCAACTCGTTGCCGGAGGTCCTCACAAACAATAGGAAACTGACGGTCCTCAGTAAATGGAGGGAGAATTCACGGGGTGATGTGGACGTACCAGATTGAGGCTGTGGTCGGCCACACAGCCAATGTCGTATGCCTGTAGAATTGTGGCCTGCACTGGCAGGAGACTGGCGACGTGTTCCAAACAGGCAACGACATAGTGCTGCTGCTCCCCTGGGGTGTCGATGTCGCAAAGGAAAAGGACCTGTGAATGCCGGCAGGTGATAACGAACACACCGCTGCGATCGTAGCGCTTGGTGTCGGCCTTGCGCTTCTTCTCATTAGCAGCCTCCCACGACGCCTGGCACATGTTCACCGTCTCCTCCTCCAGCACAGGCCTAGCGGGAGCGGGGCGTCGATTGCCTCGTGCCTCTGCAACACGTCGTGCAGCAGCTGCTACTTCAGCGCTAGACAAGAAGTAGGCAGGGTCGTCATAGATTGGCCCGTCACCAGCAGATTTCAGGTGCCGGTAGCTGAAACATCCATCGGCGCCGAGTTGGACGTCTCCACCGCTAAAGAATGAATTAGACGTAGACGTAGCGAATGAAGGGGAAGCTCACTCGTCGAGTGACCGACCCCATTCTTCCAGCCCAAAGCACGCTGGACAGCGTTCGCGCAAGATGCGGTGCGCGCGTCCTGCGGACAACAAACAGGGGCCGGCGTTAATCGTATCCGCATCCCTTGCCACCGCGGCATCTCCTGTGTTCACGTCCGCATCCTGATCTCCCTCTTGCGCTGCCTCCCATTGCGCCGCCACTTCCAGAGCCTTCGCTAGCCTCTTGTCCAGCCGACTCCGCAGGTTGCTGTACCATTGTACTGCATTGGCAATACTCTCCCGAAAGACATTATTTGCCCGACTGCGTGTACCCTGCAGGCAGAATTAATCCTTTTCTAGCTTAACAGTAAGGCGACGTACCCGCGCCGACGTAACTTGAAACCCCCGCCGCCTGTAGATTGTACGGAGGGCAGCGGCTAGGGCGTTTATTGCGTCACAGGAGCGCTCGAAAAGTGCCCGGTAGACCTCCAATAGTTCAACGGAGACCCCCGTGCGAGGCTTGACGGGTGAAGAGGGGAATACGCCATGCTGAACTAGCAGCTGCCCAACTGAGACGCAATGACATGTCGTTACTTGCACCGTTTCCAGGTCTATGCTGTGGGATTAGCTGAGGACCTTCTCATAGTATTCCACGCACGCGATATATACAGGCACTGGATCGTGCCAACCACAGTCTCCACGCAGGCGGCCATGCAGTCATGCCGTATGGACGATTCAATGATCAAAGGGCGCCGGCCGTGTGTCAATTCCAGATAGCAGGCAAGAGGAGCCTCCAGAAGAGGTAAAAGGCTCTGCCAAGAGTTCGCGAGGCGGCAGATGCGTTCCCTCTGGGGCTTGGGCGCAAATCCAAGGGGAACGTCGGCAGGGATGGGCACCGAGGCATCTTGCTCGTGGGTGGGCTCGTCAACCCATACCTCCGGTTCATCCTGCAAGGGTGTCTCATCTCCTGCTGCTGCTGTGCTGGTCTCCAACTGCGCCTGGCGCGCCTGGTTCGCAGCAAGACGAAACCTGAGCCCTGTCCTGACCACAAGGTTCCTCTTGCGCGAGTCACGTGCTTTGAGGGGACTGAGAGACAAGGCACCAGCGCCGTGACGTATTGCGCGTTGGCGGGCACGGGAGGAACGTTTTTGAGAGGTCATGAAATTGAAGCGAAAAGACGAGCGCGGACACGTGACCAAATGATGGCCATCTTGACGCGTCGTTAATGGTGCCCTACCGCCAGGGACTTCGGGTATACTGCCCGCGCCCAGCAACCCCGCACTCCCATTTGCTGCTGCCGCAGTTTCTCCAGCACAGATGGGATTCGGGACGCGCTGAATCTGCCTCTTTCTTGATTCACAGTACACGTACACTTGCACAGCAACTATAAGGGTTTCTTGTTTACATCTTGTATTTAGATTTAGATTTTGTGTTGTGTAAAATTAACTTGTACATCTTGTATTTTTTTTTTGAAGTGTAGTTTTACGCCGTGTATAGTATAGCCTCCGGCGAGGAAACCCCATATGTGGACTCTGGTCTTCACCATGGAAGCACCAGTGGCGTAGTGGTAACGCGTCCAGCGAGCCCCTTGAAAAATTACCATTGATAGTGGTCTGGAAGTCCCGGGTTCGAATCTCGGCGGGTGCATTTCTTTTTCTCATTACATGAGATCCTTATGGTTTTCTGTGCAGCAGCAACTCATGTTCATATTTTCAGAAAGTCCCGAGTTCGAACCTGGTGCATTTCTTTTTTGCATTACACCGTGGCCCGGCTTGAATCGACTCACCGGAGGAACATTTCTGAGAGGGAAAAGAGGAGCGCGAGCACGTGACCAAATGAATCTTGACGCGTCGAACGTCACGAAGGTACTTCGCACAACTGCAAACTGGCCAATCCCGCCAATCCCAATGGTAAGGTAAGGTGTGATTCATTCTACCAAGGGTTGGGCATACCACGCTACAGGTAAGTAGAGTAGAATGCGTAAACGCGCGTCCCGAAGGCGCCGACGCGCCGACGGCCCGAGCGCGCACAAACACGCCTGCTCACCCCTGCCCCACACATGGGCCCAGCCGGCCCAGCCCTACCATAGAATGAACGTTCAATGATGCTACAAGTACGCCAGGAAGTCCTGGGCCCCAACCAAAGGCACCGGCGGCAGCTTGTTTTTAGACGTAGCGTACCCTGGCGTGCCTGCCTCAGACATATCAGTGGCCTATGCACGGCCTATGCATCATTGCACGCCTCACACAAAACGCGTCCGGCGCTGCAGGCCCTACCCGGGCCCGGTTCGCAACTGCTGCGTACCACTACTCCAATTCACCGTAGGCATAAGTAAACCTGCACTCTATTGCTTGTAGGGCGTAATTTCACTGTTTTCTTAGACAGACAATTTTATTTTTATACCGCACAGCGGTACTGTCGTCCTACGCAATGCTACGAGCAAGCGGAAATGCGCGCAGCAGTCCCGAAGGCCGCTGCCACGCCCGTACGTGGCTTCCCGATTAGGACTAGCGGCTATTGGTCAACCTTCGTCTCGCCTGAAACCCCTTCGAAGGACATTTTTACTCAACGTCTAAATTGGCTTCGAAGGGCAATTAGTAAGCAATCAGCTGTCGTCTTAGGTGCTTGTAACTTGTTGAACGTCGACGGGAAGTCGATGGAGAGGTCGACTTGTATGTTAAACAGATATGTGCACCTGTGTGTAGTGACGCGCCGGAGACGATACTTACTGGCCAGCACGGCGGCGGAGCGGGGGCAGAAGGCGGTCGCGTGACAGATCGCACCACCGGTGCGACAAGCGGTCACGAGCAGGCTCGAACAGGAAGGCTTCCATTTGGAATGCTCTATCAAACCCTTAATGTATTATATTTTAGATTTAGATTCTAACGAAGTGGGAGCTATGTATGGAAACATATTCTATCGGATTGTGGTGGAGATTCTCAAGCCCAGATCTTGCCGGAGATATCGCAACTCGGCGCACGTCTCCGGTGTACAACAATGACCTAGGGATGAACGGCCAAAGTCAATGGCATACAGGCGACCATGCTTATCTCGCACAAAATTTCTGTTTTCCAGATCGCCGTGCAGGATGCCAGCTGCATGGATTCCCCTTGCCGTGTTGTACACAGCCCGACTAATGCATGCCAGCCATACATAAGACAGGTCGCAACTTAAGGCAGACCACACTCACCGCTCGCCATGGGTTAAACCGTCCCACCAGTCGGGCAAGGTGTCGCCTTTGTCTTCGAGAAGGAGAGCCGCCCAGGCCCGGTGCGCAGGGGCAAAAACACCAAAGCACTTCAGGACGGAAACAGAGGACGACATGCAATCATAGGCCTCAAGCTCGCGGAGGAGAACCGCAAAAGAACCGATGTCATATACCTTGGCGATGACTGGATAATCGTGGTCCAGTGTGCCCCGATGGACAGTTGCATCTTGGCCAGACGGAATGACCGAATTCAGGGATAAAAACAAGGGACAGTGGTCATGAGTCATCGACTGTTCCCCAGACGGTCCGCTCAAGAGCTGAGACGGAGTAACTTTTTCGAGCAGCTGAGGTTCTTGTGACATGGGTGGAGGGAACTTGAGCAACTGGGAGGACGTTAATGAAGGCATATTGAAGTTATGTTTGGGCGTACCAGGAATGTAGACCAGAGTCCAGAATGAGTGCCCTTGCCCTTGCCTTTGGTCTTCGCGGCGCCCTTGCCCTGTTCAGGACGAGGTTGGGTTGATGTTCCTGCAGATATCATATAGCTAGCGCTCGGACGCATCATCCGGAGACCGGATTCTTGCAAATAATACTTGTAACCGTCGGCTGACAACGTCGGGTCTGGTTCGTCGAAACGGAGCTTGCCAGGAGGCGCGTTTATGGCGAATAGCAATGCGATAAAAGGTATTAACGGGCGATCCTCAGCGTACTGGCTGGGAACGAGCGGCTGTAGGTCCGAATGCCCGGCGCCTCGGATACTGGTATTCACGTGCGGCGGGGGGCTAGGGGGTCCGCGGAGGTGAGAGTCAACCTCAAAAGGTGGGCGGGGCAAAGGCGGATGAACTATTGATATGTTCATACTGGCGTAAGGAAAAATGAAAGTAAACTCACGATTTTCCATCACTACGCATTGGTAACCGGTGTATATGAGACCAAATCGCGGAGCCGTACAGGAGACGTCATGCAGGATCCTGTGACACATCTGAACATCCAACTGCATAGTAATGTGAGAGCAACATTGGTGCCAATCGAAATTACTTACCTTAAACATCATGGCACGACCATGCTCGTAGGAAGCAAATATAGGAAAGATCTGGAATGGCTCGGCAAAAACATTCCGATACTGGGTCAGCACACGATCGAGTTTGGCCTCGATGGCAGAGCCTGGGCAAATGGAGAGTGGGGAATCAGGGGAACGCAATTGAGCCAGCAAGATGTCTGTGATCTGTGAGCCCGGAAAAGCTTGAGTTTCTACAATCCAGTCAACGTCTCCCTCCTGGTTGTGTTGCCAAGTAGGGGTTGTTACATACATCGATGTGGCCAGCCCCAGGTCTTGCATAAGACGGTTGACAATCTGACACAACTGATTCAACACCGGCATAATACAACCCTCCCTGTGGTACTGTGCACGTTTGTATTGGTCTTCCAGTGATTCCCATATGGCAGCAGCTTTGGGAGGGGTCGGTCGGTCCAGCCCATGTTCAGTCTCGATGTAATCAAAGAGACCTGCGAGGGCTCGCCGGATAATAGTCGAGTCACGGTAACAATATGACAAGGGATGCTCGGGAGGGTGTGAGCCGGTCCAAGGGGCAGTAGATTTGTTCGTGCTGATGTCTCTAATGGGCTCAGGCATCGAAAAGTCAAATAGGGCCCTGTACGACGTCGGAAACCGAGGCCATCCGGATTCCTGCCGCGGATGCAGATGAAAGGTAGGCGGTAAGAAGGCGGGAGGATTAGAGTTGCCAGGTAACATTTCTGGATATGGGTCCGAGTCAGGATTTTCGGCTCATGGCTTATGTCCGTTGTCCTGGAGAATTATATCAAGTTTATCAAGAGGAGGAAAGGGAAAAGAAAGAGAAAAGAGAGGAATATTATAGCCTACATTCTGCACCATATGAGCCTCTATTCCGAGCTCAATTCTGCCCCAGAGAGGCACCAAAAGCTCGAAAAGTTCTGATTAATCAAGTTGGCATTTGGCGGGCTGATGTAGGAAATCAAGACTATGTCAAATGGGGACGACTGCCCAAAAGAGATAAGCCCCAGCGAATGAAAATCAAGATATAAATAGCTCTCCTCGATCTGAGTCCGTCCGAATCGGTCCGACGACATTCCGATGATTTCCGTCTACCACGTGACTCGTGACCGCGCCCTCGATGCGCTCAGTCTGCCTCAAGTATGCCTCCGAGTCCTACTTCCTAGTCCAGGGTCCCGGCAGCTGACAAGCTTGATACATTTCCATCCCCCAATAACTTGGTAAGCTTTTAATCTTCACCTTTTTTGAATGCTTTTCTACGTGTCTGAACTTCTAAAATTCTGCCTGCGGCGCAACAGGAACAGGCAACATATTTATATCTCTCCAAAGCGTCCCTGTTAATGTATCAAAATTTCCTTGCTGTCGCAGCCCCATGCTACGGCACGAATTCGATTTTTTTTGTGCATCTCAGGCATCGATATCTCGGGTACATTTCAGTATTTAAGTATACTTATATGGCTTCTCTATTGGAAATTTCTAGAGAGAACTTTTGGAGACTTTTGGGCTCCCAAGGTTACGCGCTGTGTCTGAACCTGTCAACGTGTGCAAAAGCTTCGGCAGATGCAGTATAATAATGATAATTTTTATGCTAAGTTCTTGTGCCTGTTTACAGTGCTAGAGAGCAGGGCCCCACAAACACCTATTTGCATTAAATTTTGAATGGCAGCTTGCGCGCGCAAGCTGGACTGAGAGTGCGGGCCGGCAGCTCAACTGAAAAGGGGAGTGTGACAGTAACATAATGTAACATCAATCAAGGCTTATGCCCGATTCGGCATAAGCCAACAACGGGCTTGGCTAATGAGCCGGATTTTCTGAAGATATATTTGCCATATATGGGTAAATACTCGTGTTGTGGGCAAATAGTGCAGTAATAGTGACGCTGACAAATAATCTATCCGTTTTCGGAAGTGTTTTGATCCTCCGCGATTTTCGGGGTCACATCTGGCCCATGTCGCTAAAAATCAAGAATGCTACATATTGCTCGAATATCTCATCACACCAGTATTTTGCCAAAAATCAAGAATGCTACATATTGCTCGAATATCTCATCAGTTGTGTAGAAGGGCAATTGCAAGGACGAGAGGCGTACACGGCGCCGGAGGCCCGAGGGTGCGTGGAGCTAGCACCTTTATATGAAGGTGTGTGTGGAAGGTGCTGGCAGGAGCTGAATATCCTCAGAGAGCAAGCTGGGGCGCACCTTGGGCCTGTGCTCCTGCTTCTCGCGACTTATGCGCGAGAGATGGGATTTGTTCCATCGTCACGTGACATCGGGTGATGGCGGAAGTGGACGGACCGTCTGAATAAACCATTTTGGGCGATCCAGTATTTGCGATCAGCGTTTGTCAGCAGCTCAGAAAATCCGAAAGCGGAATTTCGTGCCAGTATTTGACAGATGCACGTGACCGT